CCTGCATCCTGTAAGTATTACGTTTTACTTAGAAAAAGGGTCTTTCCAAATTAAGGGTCTTCAGGTGAGAAGGTTATCCTGGACTATGAGGGTGAGGTGAGCCACAAATACAATCTATGCGTCTATATCAAATGGAGGCAGGAGATCTGATGCAGATAGAAGAGGGGAAAGTGATGTGACTCTGGAGGCAAGAGGGTTCCAGGAAAGATTTCACACAAAAATAGAATCTAATGTGTGTACCCTAGCCACAGTAAGAGAAATCTTACAGTAGTGTCAGAGATGTGGGGGAAGAATTAGTGATAAGTCCATAGGAAAAGAGACAAATGAGACCAGAATGAGGGAGACAAAAGTAGTATAAGAAAGAAAACATAATCATGGTATACTATGGCTCAGAGCTGGGTATTTACCTCATACATAACTTGAACTTAGAATACTGATTTAACTAAAAGTTGGGAAATAACTATACTAAAAGGATGAGGTAACAGAAGTATGTGTGTGGTGGATGTGAAAAAGCTAAATCCTTATCTTCCACTGTAAAAAGTCACGATAATAACATAAATTAAGAAATCAATTAGTGGTGATATGAGCCTAGCATTTAAATAAGCCAACAAATACTGGAAGATAATGTAAAAATTACTTAGCGACTGCCTTTGGGGAGTTATCATGGGGTAAAACGGGTGGTGGCTGGGACTATACTTCATGTAAACTTGGTAGAACTATGTGAATTTTAAACTATTCATATGTGTTTTTAATAAAAATAAATTTTAAAAGTTTATTTTTATTTTATTTTTTTGATTTTTTACAGAGGAAGAGAGAGGGACAGAGAGTTAGAAACATCGATGAGAGAGAATCATTGATCAGCTGCCTCTTGCACACCCCCTTCTGGGGATTTGCCTGCAACCAAGGTACATGCCCTCGACCGGAATCAAACCTGGGACCTTTCAGTCCACAGGCTGATGCTCTAGCCACTGAGCCAAACCGGATTCGGCAAATTTTAAAAGTTTAAATAGAACACTGAAGACCTTTTAAAAAGGGAGTTGCTAATGTTTTAGCCAGAAAACTTTCAATGGTGGGTGCAAACAGAAACCAGACCTACAATGTGGTGAAGAATAAGTGAGACACAAGATAGCAAAAGGAGCCTAGATTTTATTTTATAAATATATTTTATTGATTTTTACAGAGAAGAAGGGAGAGAGATAGAGAGCTAGAAACATCGATGAGAGAGAAACATCGACCAGCTGCCTCTTGCACACCCCCTACTGGGGATGTGCCCGAAACCAACGTACATGCCCTTGACTGGAATCGAACCAGGGACCTTTCAGTCCGCAGACCGACGCTCTACCATTGAGCCAAACCGGTTTTGGCTGGAGCCTAGATTTTAACAAGCCATGCTGATGACTGAAATAAAAGGGAAGAGGACAGAAGGAACAATAGGGTGGGAGGACAGAATTTTGAAAGTGGCAGTGTTTACATGATGGCACCTCTGCTGGCAATGTCCCCTGAGAAACTGCTTGCCAAGAACAACTCAGAACTGTTAGACCAGCTGAATTCCCAGACCCGCCCCTACACGCTCTTTGTTGCCTCACCAGCTGTCTTGCTTCTATTTTGTTCCAAGTGAGCCCCCGTGATGTATCCTGGGGAACAATTCCCCAGGACCAGCCTTTCAGCAGCCACAACTCTTGCATTTGTTAATGTGGCAGGCCTCCATTCACTCATTCAAAGAAGATTTGTTAAGTATACATTGTATATCAAACACTATGCCTCATGCTGGTGGATATGAATAAGAACCTTATTTTTTATCTTTGTGAATTAACTAATTTTTAAACCAGAGATACAAAAGAAACATAGGAGGCAAGAAAAAACAAACAAACAAAAAAACTCTGGTGTAAGAATCACAAATTACATAAATTCTCAATGCATTTAAAGTTGGCTTTTACTGATGTGAAACAATGCTCTGATGGGCAGTTTAATGCGGCATGTGATCTCTTCTTACCTTTTTTTATATCAGTCAAATGCCTTCCCCATCTATTCCTTTCTTAGGTAAAAAAAACAAACACAATTTTCAGAATTTCTAGTTTGAAATCCTAACCTTGCTGATCTAGGGCATTTTTTTGGTTGTGATGATGGGAGCAAAAGGTCTTACTGACACTTAGTGGGTGGGGTCATGAATACTAGACATCTTGGCAAACTCAGAGTACAGTCCTTCAAGTATGCCTCATATCTGAATGACTTTTGAATGCCCTCCTCAACATTCATATTGGTGGGGGGAAAAAATGTTCATAATTATCTAAGCCTTAGAAAGGAACTCCATTTCAGAAAGAAACACAAAACGTTTTTTGCAGTTGTAATGTACATTGAATTTTCCAGGACAGTAATAACTGTATTACTCAAGTGCAGAATGAACTTGGTTTTATTTGGAAATCTCCTACCATTAAGTCAATATGGCCCACCCTAAATCACTCTGCATTTACAGTTTTTGCATTCAAGGTACAAATAACTATTTCTTTAATTCTAGTATAGTCACGCCTAAACATTTAAAAATAAAAATGTAATTTTCAATATAGCATTGATGTATACAATATACACTGCTTAATTATAAATTCTTTTATTTTTTCCTTGTATCGATATAATAGTTTGAGCATTACAACAATTTTTTTCTTTAAAACTAAGTATGGAAGGCCCTAACTTGTCTGGCTCAGTGGATTGGGGGGTCCCAAGTTCGATTCCGGGCAAGGGCATGTACCTTGGTTTCGGGCACATCCCCAGTGGAGGGTGTGCAGGAGGCAGCTGATCTGATGTTTCTTTCTCAACAATGTTTCTAACTCTCTATCCTTCTCCCTTTCTCTCTGTAAAAAAAAAAAAAAAAAAAAAAAAAAAAAATTTATATATATATATCTCCCCAAACAGCTAAGTATGGAAGTAGATTGCATTATACTTACCTATGAATTCATTTCAGGACAGTAAAAGGCAAAATACAAAAAATGTGCTATAAAAAGAGAAAATGGAGTGTGAAGGGATGGAGATTCACTGTTCTACATGATGAATTCAAATTTCTAAAAGAATACTGAATTAATTTTTGCTTACCTTTTTCAAAGGAACTTCAAAAACAATATTGGAGTCCCAGGCATCCTCTGTCCAAGAGGGAGATAGTCTTGCCACCTGTTAATACATCTGTGTTAGCCAAATTCTCTTAGCCTTTCTCCCAGCACAGAATGAGGACGCCTCAGTCCCCTCTTCCCTTTGCTTTGCCGCTCCACTTATCCATCCCAACCCAGTTACCTGTATTTCCCCTCTTCCTGTTTCCCCATCTTGAAAAAATGTACAAGGCACCAAACAGTGCAAAGAGCTCAACAAATGAGGAATACTTAACACCAGAGATTGCGAGAACTTCTATATCCTTGGTAAAACCCAGCCTGGTCCTGAATACCAAGGTGGCATAAATACATAGATGTTAACTGAGATAGTTTAAACTCATTTCTTTCACTTTACAGTTCATTTTTAGTTCTCACACAACTGATGCTATCATATCGGATAGGTAGGGAACTTCGAGTTCATATGGTAAAAAGATAACCCCATATAAAAGGGACTATGAATTTCACTTACTAATAATGCTGGGGTCACAGTGAGAAGTGATATTTGAGCTGACTTCTGTCAGATGAGTTAGAATGAACTAAGATTGATTTGGTATATTGGAAGTGAGGGCAAACGTTGTACAAGTTGGGGCTGGAGAAGCAGGTTGGATTCTAGATAATACAGAGTCTTAAAGGCAGAGTTAAAGAGCTTTTTACTCTTTTAAAAAAATATATATATATATTTTTATTGATTTCAGAAAGGAAGAAACATCAATGATTAGAGAGAATCACCAATCGGTTGCTCCCACACACCCCACACCTGGGATCGAGCCTGCAATCCCAGCACTCGGCCTGACCTCCAGATTCATAGGTGATGCTCACAAGTAGCCAGCTGGGAGGCTCAGTGATTGATGTTTTGAGTGATATTTATGAGCTATGGTCCAATTTGCCCACTAAAAAGATTTGTTATTCGAAGAATGGATTGGAAGGAAATAAGAGATAGATATACATGCACTAGTATGGACGTAAATGCAATCAGTCAGGCAAGTTCTGCAGTAAGATGCTGAGGGAGAAGTTGCAAGTCAAAATGCTTCCAGGAGATAAAATGAAGGGGACTTTATGAAGTACGAGGCGGAAGAAACGAAGGTCTCGAGGAATAAAGAAGCCTCAACCTATGAACCAGGTCATGGTTGGGGGCCTGTAGGAGGCAGCCGATCAATGATTCTCATCCTTGATGTTTCTATTCCTTTCTTCCTTTCCTTTCCTCTCTGAAATCAATAAAAATATATAGTTATTTAAAAAGAAGTAAGCAGTAAGCAAAGGATCAGTATTAATAATTTGAGCCAAAAAAAATAAATCACTCAAATGAGCTCTGTTAGGAATCAACAGTGTGCTCTTTTCCGGTGAAAATAATACAAACCAACCTTTTCCATTTAAAAGTTCAGCGGAACTGGTGGGTGTGTTTCTCCCCCCCCCCCCCCCCAATTTTCGTAGTTATTACATTTCAAAATACCACAACTTCTGGCATTAAGGGGGGCTCTATTTTGGTAATTGATGGGTGTCCCCAAAACTGATAGTCCCATCTTTGAAAATCAGCCCGTCTGCATTTTACCCGAGGGGCAATGGCCAGGGCCTCGCTTTTATATGTTTTTTGCCTTTTTATTTCTTTTTATGAAGCGTATTACAGATGACCCCCACCACCATCCCTCTCTTGGCAGGACCTGGCTTTTTAAAGGATCTAAAAAATCAGAAACGCAGCCAGTCCTTTGCAGCTCCTGCGGGCGGGGCAGGGAGAGGGTCAGGGCCTCCCGGCGAAGGGTGGACCGGCCGAGCGCGCGGCGGGGCAGACGGGCAGAGGCCGGAGAGAGGAAGCCCCGGCCGGGGGTCCGGGGGCCGGGAGGGCCAGGCCCAGGGGCCACGCCACCTTACCTCTCGGGGATGTGGTTCCCGCCCTTCTTCTTGCCCGGAGCCTTCGGCGAAGGACGTCCAGAAAAGGCGCGCCCCCGGCCCCGGCCGCGGTCCGCACGATGCCATTGGCTCATGTGGACCCCAAGACAACGCCCGCGCAACGCCGACAGCGCCCGCAGCTCCGTGGCCCCAAAACAAGACCCTCCGCAGGAAGCTCCCGCCGGGGCACTGCGCAGGCACCGCCCACCGGGCTCCAGGCTAGCGCGCACGCGCCGCCGCCCGCGGTGATGACGTCACGCGCAGGCGGACTGGAAAGCGGGGCCAGTCACCAGGGCCCTAGTGGCTGTGGCGCCCTCCTTAGGCGGCGGCCGGTAGCACAGGCCCATGAGTCCGTGTACAGACCCTTCAGAGCTCAGTGCTGCAGCCCCTGGAGAGAGAAGCTGAGTCCCACCCGCCCAGGTCCCAGCGCGGTCCTTCCGCATGTTTTCCAAGTGCTGACATTCACACTTACTGTACAGTGTAAATAAATATCTATTAATTCAAAGATGGATGCCCTCTATTTTATATAAACACAGCATACTATATCTATCCTACAATCTAACTATGAAATTTTAGTAATTTTCCTAAAAATATTTGTGCACATCTATTCTATTGGTTTTTTTAAGGTTGTATAGTATTCTACTGATTGTAAGTTTGTAGCATTATTTATATAACCAGCCCAATACTAATGGACTTTTAGTTGTTGACAGCTTTTTTATCCTCCATTACAGACAGGCTGCAATGTAAACATTCTTAAACATATATACAACTATGTGTACATTCCTAGAAGTAGAATTTCTGGAATGAAGAATATGTAAACTTAAAAATTTGATACTTCTTAATTACTCTTCAAAATTATTGTGTTAACCTACACTCCCACTCACCATGGAACTTTTATGGAGTAACTATCATGTGCCAGGAAGTATGTATTTACATTTTAATAACTGACCCTCCAAAAATAATAACTGAGAAAGCCCCAGCTGGTTTGGCTCAATGGGCAGAGCATTGTTCTGCCAACTGAAGGGTGTCGGGTTCAATTCAGTCAAGGGCATATACTTAGGTTGCAGGCTCAATTTCTGGCTCCGATTGAGGCACGTGCAGGACTTAACCAATTCATGTGTCTCACATTGATGGTTCTCTCTCTGTCTCTCCCTTCCCTTTCACTCTAAAATTCTATGGGAAAATATCCTCAGGTGATGATTAACCAAAATAATAACTGTAATAATAACAGAGAGAGATGAGAGTGGAGCTCAAAGTCTAAGATTTCCATACACTATCTCAGGCATAGAGGCCTGTATCTGTTTCAAAACCTCAGTTCTGTTAGAAGTGAGACAAGTAACAGCATGTCCTAGAGTAGGTCTGAAGGCACAATAAAATGCCAAATTTCAGATTAAATTATAGATAATCATAATAGCAAATGTTTTGGGTGATTTAATTTTTAGTTTCTAAAAGTACTTATAAACACTGTTACTAATCTTTACAACCATTTGAGATCTGAGTAAACTGAGGATTAGAAAGGTCAGTTATTGAATAAATGAATGAATGAAGGTGTAAAAAGATCACTGGTTTTAACATTCCTGGGACAATCGTATTCTAATGAAGTTTATATGCACTAGAATTTATAATTCTGAAAATTTCCACATAATTAAAAACAGGTTAATATTAATAAACTGCTATTCAAAAATATGTAAATTAGCACAGCAGTTTGTATAATTTGTACAATTAGTCACATTCAAATTTAGTGTCAAAACCAAAATATTATTTTGGAATTTATGAAAAATATATTTAATATGCATGTAGTGGCCAAAAGTATTAGTGGTACAAATAGCTATAGACTTGAAAACATACAAAATGTGACATGAATCTATCAGAAATTAGAAAAGCAATATTGATCTTATATTTACAACTTGCTACAAGACCCAAGCTGGAGATGGGAACAGGGCACAAATTTAGTTATGTGACACAAGGAACTCCAGACTAGGCACCATCGGATTTCCAGAAAGTATGATACCTAGCAAAGAGTATGCCTTTGGATTGGAGTGGATCCAACATGAGATGAAAGAATGCATAAATAGGTATGTAGGACACTGAAATAGGAAATATAAGAACAATGGATATTTGGAGTGCTAAACAGCTAAATAGTTGACACTATAAAATCTAGCTGTATCTGACAGGGTCCCAAATACTATGTAAAGGTTTAAGGGATTCCAGTCTTTAATTAAATCAAAAGTGAGAGTAACAAAGCATTCAGGGGTACATGGGATGGGTATATTTCAACAAAACAAGTCTTAGCTATCCCAATGGGTACAAAATGCAGGAAGTGGATATATGGAACAAAACAATATCTTAACTACAAAAAAGAAGACTACCTCAGAGTAGAGGCTGTTGCTAAGTTTCAGAGTGTTGAACTAAAGTTCTGTAGGTTCCTCCTCCTACATTTAAGGTTTCTTTTAAAGTTAAATGATGCTGAGTCCCTAAGGCAAAGTTAAATGGCAGGCACTATGGAGAGAAAATAGTTATAGAGGCTTGGATCCAGGAAAGGTCTAATTAAGGGTTTGTCTAGGTAGAATTGAAAGGTGGAACTGAGTATTTTAACATGTAAACATTTGACCGCTACCAGAATTTATCTTACTATACTTTCTCCAATCTTACACCACCCATCCTAACCTGCAGTGGATATGGCTTCTTTTGATTTCCAGGGGAAAACAATTTAAAAAAACAACGCTGGTCTGCCCTAGTAGGTTCAACTCAGTAGATAAGAGCATTGGCCTGCAAACTGAAAGATCCCAGGTTCAATTCCAGTCAAGGGCATGTATCTTGGTTGCAGGCTTGATACCAGCCCCTGATTAGGGCTCATGTGGGAGGTAACCAATCAATGTGTCTCTCTCATATCGATGTTTCACTCTGTCTGTACCTCTCCTATTCTCTCCCGAAAAATCAATAGAAAAATATCCTCTGGTAAGGATTAATAAAAAACAAACAAAAAGACTGGTCTGGCTTGCAGATATTTAGCACATACTGTTAACTTCACATTACATATTAGTATCATGGAAGTTGGCAATCTGAGGTCTGAAACTTAGGGGGGAAATGTTGAAAAAAATTTATAAGGCTCTGGCCAGCATGGCTCAGTGGTTAGAGCATTGGCTCACACACCAGAGGGTTGCAGATTTGATTCCTTGTTTAGGCCATGTACCTCAGTTGCAGGTTCAATCCCCTAGTCAGCGCAATTATACAAAACAACCAATTGATGTGTCTCTTTCACATGAATTTCTCTCTCCCTTGCCGCCTCCTACTCTTAAAAAAAAAAAAAAAAAATCAATGGAAACACTATCCTTGGTGAGGATAACAAATTATTTTTTATCAGTTTAAACCATGTGTCTACACTGCTACACCCCTCAGTGTATTTCTTCTCAGATAAGTATCATCCTATCATCCCCCAACTTTGAAAACACTCATATCTCATAGAAGGAATAGTAGTCCTATAAATGAATTATGTCTCTTTGTAGATTCCATCCATGAGCTATTGGCTCTTGCCATTTTGTACCATGCACTTCCTACTCATTCGCATAAAAAAGTTCTAAGTAGATTGATCTAGGCACCCCTAAAAGCTTACCATCAAGAAAAATTACTAGATCCATAGATTTCCTACCCCAAACCAGCTTACCTTATTTAAGGAGTAGGGCAAAAGTAGGTTTACACGTGTAAGTATATAAAATAGAGATCCTTCTTGTATTATTCATTAATTATTGTATTATTTTTCATGTGAACAACTGTATACTTACTTTTGCCCCACCCGTATAGTCATTAGCAACCCAGAGTCACAAGAGTGGTGGGAAAAGCAGTAATCAGGGGGCAGAGAACAAGGGCAAGCCAGGCCAAGTCAGGCTGAGTACACACATCTGTTCCTTATGCTCAGGGCCACAGTATAACTCACCACAATAAGGTGCCTGGCTAGCTCAGTCGGTAGAGCATGAGACTCTTAACTCACCACAATGCCCTTTTCACACATTCCATGTGGACAAAACCAGAGCTTGATACATAGCATAAAAACAATCCAGCCAAAACCGGTTTGGCTCAGTGGATAGAGAGTCAGTCTGCGGACTGAAAGGTCCCAGGTTTGATTCCAGTCAAGGGCATGTACCTTGGTTGCGGGCATATCCCCAGTGGGGGGTGTACAAGAGGCAGCTGATCGATGACTCTAACTCTGTATCTCTCTCCCTTCCTCTCTGTACAAAATCAATAAAATATATTTTAAAAAAAACAAACAATCTCTCTCTAAAAAAACAAACAAACAAGCAAAAAAATCCATACTTTATAAATATACCAATGAATGATGTGACAAAAACAAAAATACATTTAGGATTATTTTCTCTAGTGGACAGAACTCTTGTTTTATATACTTCCACATTGCCCGATCCCTATTCTCCATGCATGTCCTATCTGGCTTTGCACCCAAGCATGGCAGAGAATCCTAGAGGCTCAAAATTCTACAGCGGCTGTTTGCAAGGGGGAGGAGACTACAGTAACTGCCACACTGGATATATACATTTTATGTGAGAAGGAAAGGGGGAAATATTGTGAGTGCCTCTCATGTATAAGAGAACAGGATGGCAGAAAGCCTACGTAGCCCAAGGAACTAGAGAGAGAAAGTTATGGGCAGAAGAACTGCAACCAAAGGCTAGAAGAGGAAAGGTTTGCAGCCAGCTGACTCCTAGCTCTTTGGTATTTGCTTCTAATGGGCAGAGTCTATGACACATCAGACACTGAAAAGAAGACCCCCTGATGCTGCTGGAAGTTGTCAGGAAGTAAAATCTGGGAGTGTAAGAATGCAGGAACAAAGCTTGTCTAGAAACACTGCCTGCAATAAAGAAGAAGGAGGAGGAGAAGAAGAAGAAGAAAAAAAAGAAGAAGAACAAGAAGAAGAAGAGGAAGAAGAAGAGGAAGAAGAAGAAGAGGAAGAAGAAGAAGAGGAAGAAGAAGAAGAAGAAGAAGAAGAAGAAGAAGAAGAAGAAGAAGAAGAAGAAGAAGAAGAAGAAGAAGAAGAAGAAAGGGAGTGAAGAGAGATGCAAGTCCATCCTGGCCAGGCTTAGCCCAG